GGGGGAGGTGGTGGTTTCTACTCACTCTTCTTGGTCTTTGGTATTCTATCTCAGTTTGGTTTTCTTTGGTGAAGAATACTTCATTGGCTTTTTCTATTTACTGCTCCTTTGGATTTCTGAGGTGGAAGGTTGGTGGCTGCTGGTTCAAGTTTGTCATTTAAGAAGTGCTTGAGGTAGCCATGCTCACTAGTTCTTTTCTGTTTACTGCTGCTTTGAGTTTTCCTGTGGTGGCACTGTTACATTGGTTTTCATCCTTTATTTGTTTACTGGAATCTGGGGGTGGTTTCTACCCACTCTTCTTTGTCTTTGGTATTTTATTTCAGTCTAATTTCCTTTGGTGAAGAATTCTTCTTTGGCTTTTTCTATTTACTACTTTTTTGCATTTCTGAGGTGGCTCTGCCTGGCCTCTTATTGACAGTTCCTTACTTTTCAGCTAAGTTTAGAAGTTCTGCTAGTTATTTTTTATGGTGATGGCTACTTCCATTGACATCTCCACTAATTCTCAATGGACAAAAGCAACTTATGCTATTGTGGTTGGAAAATCAAATGAAATTTTACAGGATTATGATCAATTGGTATTCCCAAAAAAATTCCATGACACTGCTGCTGGGAAAGGCTGTAGTCCTTGTATTCACCCTCTTGGGTCTCAAGAAGGTGAAATAGCTGTGTTCTTCACTAACAAGGAAATTGACTCATTACAGGAAGAAGTTAAATTCACATTGTTGGGCAAATATCAGCTAGGGCACCATAAAATGGAGTTAGTCAGGAGCTTTTTTGAATCTCTAAAGTTCATAGGCAATTGAAAAATTGGGTTATTAGATAGGAGGCACCTCCTAATTCAGTTGGCAGCTGAGGAAGATTATGCAAGATTGTTTGCTAAACAATCTGTTATCATTGCTGGAATAAATACGCAAATTATAAAATGGACTCCAAGATTTGATCCTAGTAAAGAACTCTTGTGGTCCCTGTGGGCCCCCTCTGGTTCAATCTACCTGGCCTCCCACTCCCTTAATTCAAGCTAAATGCTCTATTTAATATTGGTAGAGCATTAGGTACACCTTTAAGAGTGTATGCCCCCACATACAATAAGGCCAAACCTAGCCTTGCTAGAATACAAGTTAAAAGAGACATTACTCTCCCTGAACTGAAGAGAATTTGGATTGGATCTGATTCTGAAGGCTTCTGGCAAGAAATAATAGCTGAGCAAAAACCTTACTATTTTGCAACCTTACTATTGCCTACATTGCAAAATGTTTGGTCATACATTAGATAAATGCTACAGATTACATCCCCCAAGTAGGAAAACTGCAGGAAGAAACCAAAAAGCTGCTGAAAAAATTACAGCTTATGCTACAAGGAGTATTGCTGAAGAAACTATGTCAGACAACAGAAAAGAAACAACTCAAAGGATGGAAGCACCACCCCCAAGACTCAATGAGGGTTCCTTGGATGCTGATCCTCTTGGAGAGCTATCAGAACCTAACAGCCATGATGAAATCTCACCACACAGATTAATAAAAAAGGAAGATATTAAAGTTACAATAGTCACACCTACATCTCCTTTGCAAGCTGAGAAGGGAAAGGAAATCATTACAGATCTCCATGATAAAGCTCCAAAAGACCCCATAATTACTGAAATGAAATACAATATTGAAGAAGAAAGGCAAGTTAAAACAACAAGGAGAAGGAAAAAGCTAGTGACAGAAGTGCAGAAATTGCAACTAGGGGCACACTCAATGAAGGCTGAAAGAGCAAGAAATAGTTCTCCTAATCATAGAGGAAGAACTAGATCAAGATCTCAGCCTTCCCCTCACCCCCTTCTAATGATTAATATACTTTGTTGGAATATAAGGGGGATGGCTAACCCTCTTTCCCCAAAAAGAGTCCTTTATCTGAATTTTAAATACAAGCTGTGGTGCATTGTTATTCTTGAACCTATGGTTCACAAGAACCCCCAAAATATGATTAAGAAATTAGGCGGCTTTACCCATTTTGGTAATAATAACAATAAAATTTGGATTTTTTATAGAAAGGAAATCAATTCAAACATTTTAATTGATCATTCACAATTTGTCCATCATTCATTCAATTTAAAGGGCCATAAGGGTGAAGCTACTTTCATATATGTTGGATGTACAAAGGATGCTAGAAAGGAGCTGTGGAATAGGTTGATTAACATCAATCAACAGATGAATTCCCCATGGCTAGTGGGGGGAGATTTTAATTGTATTACTTCTACTGCTGAAAAATCTGGTGGGAGAGTCCCAAATTCAGTTAAGATGAACACCTTTACAGACAATATTCAAAGGGCTGGACTCTTCGACTTGGGCTTCAAGGGGTCTTCTTTCTCTTGGAAAAAGGGGAGCTATTTGGGAGAGGCTAGATAGAATGTTGGTAAATGATGCATGGTTTAACCAATTCCTCCTCACCTTTGTTACTCATCTTAGTCTTTGGTTCAGATCATAGGAGATCATAGGCCTATGCTTATCAGCATTACTTTTACTGATAATCATACCTCCCCCTCCCTTTAGATATCTCAACATGTGGGCAGCACATCCTTCTTACAACAAGTACATTGCTGATTTATGGAAAGGTATTTCACATTCTGACCCTATTATCAAGCTAAGTTTGCTGCAAATTAAAACTTCCAAAGCCCTCAAAAATTAGAGTTGGGAAACATTTGGAAAATGTACATGCCAAAGTTCAAGAGGCAGAAAATGAAGTAAAAAAATTGGAGTATGAGGAACAGATTGGCAATGTGGAGGAAAAGGAACTGTTGACTGCTCAGAATAACCTTCTTAGTGCCATTGAATATCAGGAAAAATTTCTTGAACACAAGGCTGCTATGAATATTTTAACAGATGGGGATAAAAACACTAAACTTTATCATGCATATATAAAATACAAGAGAAAGTGTAACACCATCCATGCTATTTAAAAATGCTAATGGTCAGTGGTTACATGATGATGCTGACATAGCCAAAGATGTTATAAATTACTATAAAAACCTGCTAAATCAGGAACAACATTTCAGAAACTACATTGAGAAGGCAAACTTCTCTACTAAACTGAATTTTACTGCTAGCCTCAAGCTCACAGATATCCCCAATGAAAAGGAAATTTGGAATGCAATCAGTTCAATTGACAACAACAAATCGACAACAACAAAACTGCAGGCCCTGATGGATACATAAATGATTTTTATAAAAAAGCATGGGAAGTGATTGGGAGGTAATTAAGGTTGATGTTATTGCTGCAGCAACTAGCTTCTTTAAAGGAAATAACCTTCCAAAGTATTTCTGTGCTTCCACCACTGTGCTGGTCCCTAAATCTGATATCCAGAAGAATTGGAACCACTTTAGGCCTATTTGTCTAACCACTGTCATTAGTAAAACTATTAGCAAAATCAATGTTGTTATGCTACAGCCTCATCTTGATTGCATAATTAAACTAAATCAAACAACTTTTGTGAAAGGAAGGTCCATAATTGACAAAACTCTATTGGCTCAAGAACTATTGGCTCAAGAATACTCTATTGGCTCAAGAATTACTACAAGAATTGAATAAAACCTGTAGAGGGGGCAGCATGATTTATAATCTGGACTTAAGGAAAGCCTAAGATACCATAAGCTGGGATTTCATAATGGAAGTCTTAACTGCCAGAGGATTCAACACTGATTTCTGTCAACTGATTAGGAGGTGGTTACATAAAAATGAACACTCTATTTTGATAAATGGACAAGGGAGGGGTTCCTTCACTACTACCAGAGGTTTAAAGCAAGGGGACCCTTTATCGCCTACCATTTTCATACTTGCTATTGATTACTTATCTAGAACTCTTGATGAAGCTCTTCTGAATCAAAGCCACAACAAATACCATCACAGACTCAATATAGCCATTACTCACTTCATGTATGCTGATGATATAATGATGGTTTTTTCTAGAGCTAATAAGAATGTTAATAGAAAAGTTTTCTAGACACTCCAAAAATTCCAAGCTCACTCTAGGATATACTTGAATCCAAAAAAATGTCAAATGATCTTTTATAAACATGCTTCCTCTACTCATAAACAATGAGCATCTGAATACACTGGATTTCAATCTCTCAGCTCCCAATTAAGTACCTAGGGGTGCTTCTTATCACTGGCAGAACTAGACAAATCCAGTTTGAAGAGGTTTTGAATAAAATTGCAAGTCTTCTTAATGGGTGGAAACATACTTTCCTATCCAATGGGGGAAGAATTACTTTGTTAAAGAGCATTCTTACTACCTTCCCTTCTTATATATTGCAGATGAATACTCTTAATAAAAGCACACAAATCCAACTGGAAAGAATCTTCAACAAATTTTTGTGTTCTGGCCAAAGACAACAAATGCACTGGGCTTCTTGGCAAAAAGTTGCCAAACGTCAAATTGCTGGGGGCATTGGCTTTAAGGACCTTGACCAACTCCTTCAGATAAACTTCTGTAAACTCTGGATCAAATTTAGAACTCAAACCTCTCTGTGGGCAAAATTCATGTGGGGAAAATATTGCAAAGATCAACATCCCACACTGGTTATCAGGAAAACTGGGGAATCTAAAATTTGGGTGAAAATGCTGAAAATCAGACATATTGTTGAAAACACTTACATTTGGGGATTGGGTAAAGGTGATATCAAGTTTTGGCTTGATAATTGGTGTTCAAAAGATTGGCTATCTCCTATTACCAATGTCTATAATATTGATTTGAAAGTGGCTGAATGCTGGGATGGTGATGAGTGGTCTCTAATTAAGCTATCCAATATTTTGCAACCTCATTCTATTACCAAAGTGGCTGGTATAAAGTTTAATAGAAGCATAGCTGATAAAATTTTGTGGCAGAGCACTTCTCATCAAAGCCTTACCGAAGCCATCTACTCTAAAAGTTTCAGTTGGGAGCAAATACCTGGATAGATACTATTTGGAACAAATTCCTATCCCATTCTATGTCTTTTCTCTGTTGGAGAATTTTCCATAAGATGATCCCTACTGATGACATTCTCAAGTTAAAGGGATTGAGGGGTCCGTCTAAATGCTGGCTATGTGAGAAAGAGGAGGAATCTTTGATTCTTCTATTCTTTGATTGCAACTTTGCTCAACAGGTATGGAAACAACTACTGAATCAATTGATTATTGATGAGAAAGATCTCACATGGGATAGGCTTGTCAATTGCTGGCTGATTTGGCATAAGAGAAAATATGCTACTATTCCTTTCATTATTGCTTGGTTCATTTGGATGGAAAGAAGCAAGGCAAAGTTTGATAATGCCATCCAAAATGTTGGTAAAACTGCTAGAAACAGTCTATCTTACCTTCATAAGATGATCAAAAGGAAAAAATTCCTTAATGTCTCTAAATCCTGCTCTTCTGACAAGCCAGACCCTATTCAAGTAATTAGAGTTTACTTGGAAACTCCACAGCATCCCACAGTGAAGATCAATACTGATGGAAGCTTTACAAAAAATGGAGCTGGAGTGGGAGGAATTTATAGAAATCATTTGGATATGTGTCTTCTGTACTTCTACACCCCAGTAATGGCTTTTGATGCCACTGAGATTAAACTTATTCTTGTGTATTGGGCAATTAACCTTGCCAATAAGGCTAACTTGTATAAGCTTTGGCTGGAGGTGGATTCTGCCACAGTTATTCACCATCTAAATCATGAGGAGGGATCTCCTTGGCAATACTTATATTAGATAAATAAAATTAAAGATCTTAGTAGTAAGTTAAAAATTCATTTCACATTCATCTATAGGGAAGGAAATCAACCTGCAAATTGGCTGGCCCAGCTTGGGTCACACTCTAAAGAGACTGATGTTGCTATAAACCCCCCCTCAGCTCTTCAATATCTGCTGCAAGGAGACATCCTGGAGGTTCCCTACTTCAGACTTGCATATCTGGACACATGATTATCTTTGGTGTAGCTGTGTTTTTATCCTTCCTTCTTCTTTCCTTTTGTTGAGTCATTGTATTTTTTCTTTTTTGGTGGATGTCTTTTTTTTTTTGGGAGTTCTTGGGTTCTTGTATTGAACAATAAAAGAGTCCCTAGTTTCTTACTTGCACTCTGTATTTGCTTATTATTCTAACATGTAGGGAGTCAATAACAACTCCTTCACCCAAAAAAAATTATATACAGATATATATATATATATATATATATATATA